AGGTGAGGTGTGTCTGCACTGGCATCGTCAACTTCGCCTACTGCTACGTGCTCCCCAGTGCTCCATCTGTGTCCTTTATTTGGGGGGGGGGGGCAATACCCGTACTTCAGGTGCAGGGGGCAAGGGGGATGGGGTGGGGGACATCATGCCCCCAATGAACCTCTCCAGGCGTTGTTCTAGAGTAGACTAACCATAGGCGGAGTGTACACATGCAGCACATAGTTTGGGAGCTAGAACGCGATCAGACTCGGGCATATTCAAAGTCAGTCTATTGTGATAGTAGTCGTGGACGGATCTCACTATGATGATATAGGTCGTGCCCAGCATCGCAGTGCCCAACATTATAAATGACTGTTTTTTTTTGCCTGAGGGGCTAGATGAACATGTGGCTAGACTGCGGATGGCAACCAACAGGCTCGAGGCTGTGTTGAGACTTCGTGTGTGCGACCCGAGTCAATTGTTTACTCACCATGACTAGGCATCGCATTGAGCATCGTATGACCATTTTATATGTCACTGTTCTTAGTCGCACGGGGGGTGCATGCCCGTTTTCAGGAGACTTATCAATACACATAAGCCCTGTGCCCTGAAGGTTAGGCCTATTGTTAGTCTGAATAGTCCTGGCTACTATCCCGCTAAGTTCATTGACTTTCTACTGAACCTGTATGTACGTGAGGAAAGTACTGTTCTGGCCTGAACTACGGATTTCATCAACTTGGTAGAAGGTTTGCCTGTGCGGGACGATCATTTATATTTGAGTATAGATGTGACCAGCCTTTACACCAACATCCCCAACGAGCTCGGTCACGTGGCATTGTCGTGGTATATCACACACAGGTATACAAGGTGGATGCCCCCGGCCCTTCGTACACGGTTAACAACAGCAGTGACTTCCTTGATGTCAGTCATTCGGAAGACTAACGAGTTCGTGTATGGTAACGATGTGTTTCGGCAGATCCAAGGGACTGCCATGGGTTCGCCTGCAGCAGTGGTCTATGCCGACATTGTTATGTTGTGTTTGGAGAATCGGTACATTTTGCCGATCTTAGAGGGGGAGTGTTTAGAGGTTCAGGTTTATAGACGCTTTATCAGTGACATTTTTGTGTCATTGCATGGTTGCGAAGGTCAAGTTCAGCGCGCTTTAGACAGGATTAATAAGTGTTCGGCCCTCGAGTTTGCGCATGAACTGGCACATGATGGCATTGATTTCCTGGAGACCACAGTTTTCCGTAGTAAGGGATACATGGCGGTGAAGCCTCATTTCAAGGTCACCAATCGTTTCCTGTAGTTGCTTGCCGGTAGTAACCACCCCCGTAGTATGGGTAAAGGTGTGATCACTGGGGAGTTGATCCGTATCCGTCGGTCTTCGACCCTTGACCACCACTACGAAGCTGCTGCTGAGCAGCCGAAGCAGGCTTTCCGGGCCCGTGTATACAAGAGCTCTATCTTTCATCTTTGAGACCGTACACCAGGCATGCAAGGCCGGCACAGCTGGGGCGGCTGGGGCGGCCTCAGCCGCCCCACTTTTTTGGCTGTTTTTTTTTGTTCTGTTTTTTTTTAGCACACTGCAACAAAGCGCGATGATCGCAGCTCAGCTCAAACGTGGCAAATAATGAAGAATCCTTGTCCCTGATCCCCGATCCCGATCCCCGTCCCCGATCCCGGTCCCCAATCCCCGTGGTTTGTTACAGAATAAAAGAGTCTTTCATTGTAGTTACACTGAATTGTCACCAAATGCCCGGAAATGCTTGCAATTGGCTTCAATTTTTGACATTTTTACCGCGGAGGGCCCCCGGACCCCCTTGCATGGCCGCCCCACCTCCAAAGTCGGTGCGACGGGCCTGGCATGGATGCGCAGGGAAGGTATGTTGGTCAGATTGGCATGGGTTTGGGTTATTTCTGTAGTTGTATACAGTGTTCCTCATTGTATTTACCTGGGCCCGGCCTGCCGCCTTCGCCCGTTGGTCTTGAGGTCCAGGTGTAATACCCCTAGCATACAGTCCGGTGGCCAGCGCGGCCCGGCAAACTGTTGTTACAAGGTGGAACATCGGCAAGAGGTTGCTTGCTTGTTTGCCTCATGCTTTTAGTGTCCTCAGGGAGTTGGTATTTTGCTTCTGTTTGGATTTTGCAGTGCCTATGGTGTCCGTAATTGAGTTTTTGTTCTGTGTCCTTTTCTGTGGTGTGTGGTCATTGTTCACACATCTTTATTTGACTTGCTTCCTGGTGTGGTGTATCCTTTTGTTTTATCATTGGTGTTGGTCTGGCTGTAGAGTTCTAGCACCCGTAGCTGCCTCAGGGGGTGTCACGTCTCCCATCAGCGTCAACTAGTCCGCAGGAAAGGACCAACCAAACTGCATCCAACCATTGGTCTTGCCGAAAAAAAATTATGGCCATTGCATTCTTCTTACGGCAAAAACTTTAACTTGTTTGCTGGCTAAAGCTGAGTCTGGCAATTACATGTTAAAACTAGCAATGTGCTGTCTGGACAATAAAAAAATTCAGACAGCACATTGCTGCCCTGCCCTGCCCTGCCCTGCCCTGCCCTACCCTGGCCCCTGTAGGTAAGAACTCCACAGCACTGACAGCGCCGTTCAACGGCAAGGTGACCGGAACAGGTGTCACGCCCGGCACTGGTCTCTTCTTCGCCTGCAATTTACCCTACGTACTCCAGGGCAGCGTCGTGCGCTACTGCGACGTCTCGGAACGTGGAGCGGCGTTCCTGCTACATGCTCAAGTAAGCGGTGCCAATGCTACTGTCATGTGTTCCTAATACCTCCTAATACCTCCTATCATGTTATCATGTTATCATGCTATCAGGCTGGCAGGCCAAGTATTGTGTTGAACATCTATTTGAATGATATTAAATTGCTACTGCTGTGCAAAGATAAACGAAGCATGCTCTTGTAGCAGCGTATCATTAACAATTGTCCCTTGACGGATGTGTTCATTTTCTTTCTCTTTTATCTTCAGTCCCTGATATAATTCCCTGCAAGTACCACGAGTTCAAGTGCGGTGGCAGTGGTGGTTGCATCTCAACCACCAAGGTCTGCGACGGTGTGTGGTATGACTGCCCGGATGGCTCCGACGAGAGCAACCGCACTAGCACACGCGGCACTGCAGCACCAGGTAATACGAGCGTGTAGAGTGTGAAATAGTTCTGTGACTCCTGCATCGCGGCTGAATGTGCATGCATGTGTCACACACTGTTGACAGGCATGCAGCCCCACTGCATGCGGCTTGCATGTGTATGAGTGTAAGCTAGGTGTTCTGGATGCAATGGATGGTATTCACACCTCAGCCTGCCAGGCTACAGCCTATGGAGTGTGAGTAGGAAGTAACGAGCGGGTTCTGTGCCAGGGGGCGCCCGGGTCCCAAAAAATGGGGTATTATTGAAAAAATGGGGTACTAATAGTACCCCATTTTTGCGGTGAAAATTATTTTTGGCCCGGTTTTTTTGCGGATAAAAATATGTGCCAGGGGGTGCCCCTACCTCAAAAAAAAAAGGGGGTATTATTGAAAATATGTATTGGGGTGTTATGCTCTACCCTAAACAATAAGGTAATATGGTGTCATGATTTGGAATTCTGCATGTATCATTAATTTTGATTTTTAGGGGTGGGTAATATGTCCTGCCCTACATCATAATATTGCATTCCGATGTCTAAAATATTACTATTTCAAATGTCAATGTTATCTCACTTTTTCCAATTTTATATTAATCAGAACTCATAGTTTTGCAGTATTTTGACTTGTAATTTCAATTTTTCGGATCATTTTCCGGACCCCACCCACCCCACCCCGCCTCCCCTCCACCTAGAGAGAGAAATTCTGGAGACGGTACTCGATCATCCAATGGACTCAAAAATGAATTGTGAACCAAAAATGAAATTATATCAGGTTTTATAGGTCCCGCCAAGTCCCGTCCCGCCGGGTCCCGCCTCCGGGAAGGTGACGACCTTGGAGAACACGGTGAACACGGTGCGCGCCAAAAACCAAAACGTTGCTCGCGCCATGCCGTGTCTTTTTTGGTTCGGGTTTGGAATCTTTCCATTGACATAAGTCAATTAGTTTTCCATCTATGTCCGTAATCGAAAGGTCCATGAGGTGTAGAATTTTTCTAGCTTTCCTCTCGTATAATTCTTTTCGACATACAACAATTCTTTCTCGAACTTTTAGCTGCTGGAATACCGGATTCATCTTGACCTCAGATGCACAGATCATGCATCCATGCATTGACGTCACAGTACATCATTGCAGCACTGATTTCACTGTGAAGTGTGGAACATGGGTCAATGCGCGATAAAAGGATGAACGTGATTTCAGCGGGAAGTGCGCTAATTGGTCACATGTTTTCAGCGGGAAGTGCGGTAAGTGGTTAATTGTTTCCAGCGGGAGATGAGTGGATTGGTTAATTGAAAAACAACCAGTTATTCTGAATTCAACTATTACGAAAACCCTATAAAAATAGGTCCTCGGTACCTTGTCAAGCCATTGTGTGGTTGTCCGCCACCACCCCTGCTCAGGATGGAACCCCTTCGGAAGAAACCTCGTCAGTCTTTTGATGTAGTGAGATCATCTGATCTGTTGCAATTCTTTAGTTATTGTCCTGATCAAGAGTTTGCAGATGTACTAAAGTTTTTCTCTCATGTTCTACCGTCGCTGGAGCTGCTTCTTGAAGAGAATATTGAGCAATGGGGTCAGTACAAGTGTTCTTTGGTAGTTCAGGTGGTGATGCAGAAGCTGAATCCTGCTACAGGACAAATGGTTTCCAACACATTCTTCTTCCGATCGAGTACAACGCTGGTGCTCAACACCATGGAGCTGAGGGACCTTCTCAGTACGATGATTGCTCAGATCAACGCTCGTCTTGATGATTTCGTTCGTCATGGATCAGGTTGGGTAGTTGAACGGATTTCCTGTTTACACATCGAAATGTCACGCTACTGTGTACTTGGAGGAAGTTCGTACATCCCCTTGCCACCGGAGTTGAAGTCGAAGAAGGCCATTGTTAACGTGCAGAACACTGACAACAAGTGTTTACTGTAAGTATAGCAGTGGGGTTTCAGTGTTGTGTTATGTTGTATGGATTGAACTGTATGTTCTGTCCATGTCTTATGTCATCCGTACTTTAGATGGTCAATACTGGCTGCTAAATTTTCGGCAGACAAGTCTCATCCATATCGTCAATCGTCGTACGCAGAACATGCGGATACTGTGGATGTGAGCGGCATCGAGTTTCCAGCAAAACTGGAAGACATACCAGTCATCGAAAGACTGAACGACGGTCTTTACATCAACGTCTTCGGATATGAAGAGAAAGTCATATATCCGTTAAGAATTTCTCAGCAACCGCAGACCGCCATCAATGTATTGCTCATCCAAGACGAACGCAATGACGTGGAGGTGCAGCACTGGGTGTGGATAAAGTCATTCAGTCGTCTTGTTGCTACTGGAGCACGTCGAGCACATTTCGTCTGCTTCAGATGTCTCTCAACACACGTCACGGAGAAGGCATTGAATAATCATATGATGTACTGCAGTGAACATCCTGAAGCCACGGTGGAGATGCCAAAGGCTGGCGATAGAGTGATGTTCAGGAATGTGAACAAGCAGCTTCAAGCCCCATTTGTAAGTAGAACACTTAATCAAGGTGAACACACTGTGGTCTGTTTTTTTTTTTCTTTCTTTACTGCACATGTTTCTTGACTCTGATTGTTCACCTTTCTGCTGTTTTACTAGGTGTTGTCTCTGCAGCTATTCCTAATTCTCTATCTGTCTTTTCCGCTGTTTTACTCGGTGTTGTCCCTGCTGCTATTCCTACTTCTCTCTCTCGCTCTCTCTCTCTCTCTCTCAAATGCAGGTGATCTATGCCGATTGTGAGGCTTTCATAGAACCTCTGTCCGCTGACAATAAAATCGGTCATTCGACATTCCAAAAGAACAAGCATGTAGCCTGTTCCTGTTCGTACATTGTAGTACGATCTGATGGCGTCGTCACGAACCGTTTCTTCTACCGTGGAGAAGATTCTATGTTCTGTTTTCTGCTGTCACTTGAGCAAGAGGAGGAGACTATCCGTGATGAGCTTCTAGCATGTAATGCTGGTCAAATGATCATTTCAGAAAGTCAGCAACGTGAATTTGAAACGGTAGTCTCCTGTTGGATCTGTGGTGAAGCGTTGGGTAGCGATCGTGTACGTGACCACTGTCACATCACCGGTGCTTATCGTGGTGCAGCACACAACCATTGTAACCTGAACATGCGGATTGAGCCATTAAAGATTAAGATTCCTGTGATCTTTCATAACTTGAAGGGATACGATTCTCATCACATCATATCTGCCATTGGGAGAACGTCCATTGATGAGATTACGTATGTGAACAAGAAAGGACAAGAACGGGTACGTTACATACGCGTGGTGTGTGTGCGTGGTGTGTGTGTGTGTGTGTGTGTGTGTGTGTGTGTGTGTGTGTGTGTGTGTGTGTGCGTGTGTGTGTGCGTGGATCATGATGTTTTTCTAAGAAGGAAGATCATTACTATGTTGGTACTCATATTCACGTTTATATGATTGATATTCATCTTTACAGCTGCACCTTAAAACTGTGTCTCCTCTTTTTCTTTCTTCTTCTCAGACCAAGCGTCTCGGTGCTATCAACGTGATTCCCATCAACAGTGAAAAATATGTCACATTCGGATGGAGACAGTTCCAGTTCATCGACAGCCTGGCATTCTTGAACACCTCCCTAGACCGGTTGGTTTCGGCTACACCACCAGATGCATTCGCCCTTCTATCCGCACGATTTCCAGACGAGGATGAACGCAAACTGTTGACACGAAAGGGTGTCTACCCGTATGAATATATGGGGTCGTACGACCAATTCGAAGAAACGCGTCTACCACCCAAGGATGCATTCCACTCAACGCTAACGAACACGGTGAGTAGTGTGACAGATATAGTAGATCTTTCTCTCTTTCTTTTTTCACCATCTTACTTCGAAGTACTAAAATAAGCCAAAATGTGTTTGAACGCTTCCTGCAGCTTCATACTAAATAATTGATTGTGTGGGCGAACTACTAAAATAAGTTCGTTGATTTGTTTTTCTTTTTGGTGTACATTTTCTATTCCCTAGGGTATCAGTGATGAAGACTATGCCTATGCACAAACAGTATGGACTGCGTTTGACTGTGAAGATCTAGGAGACTATCACGACCTCTACCTGGAGACTGATGTGCTGCTGTTGGCTGACGTTTTCGAAAACTTCAGAAGAACTGCTCACGCAACCTATGGATTGGATCCCGCTAATTACCTCACCTTACCGGGATTTGCCTGGGATTCGCTGCTGAAAATGACGAAGGTGTCCCTTCATCTCATTTCCGACATTGACATGTTCAACTTCATTGAGCATGGCAAAAGAGGTGGCATAAGCATGGTGTCCGCTAGACACGCCACCGCCAACAACAGATATCTATCGGAATACAATCCAGACGAGCCGTCAAGCTTCA